CTCCAACATAACCTTTAGCCTACATGTATCTCTATTTCTCATTCCTAGGCCTTGAGACTTTTTCCAAGTTTCTAACTTCTTCTTTTCTCAGTCCCCAAAAAACCTTTTACGATTCAGTCTCTGGGAATCCCTCTGTCCTTCTAGGAAATCTCTGAGACCTCTACCAAAAGGGGTCTAGTAGTCGACCTATTTCAAGCTAATTTTCAGTACTTCTAGGCCTAAAATTTGGGATGTGACACTTTTAGGAGTAGTTTATCCTTCATGTTTTGTGCCTTAGTGGGCCTGTTCAATGTGTAACTTATTTCGACCTTAGTGGCAATTTAGCCTAGCAGTCTTTACCGCTAACAAAAACGTTAATCGTATTATCAATGTACTGCATTTCTATTATCAATGCGTGAAAGTTTATGTTGTGTTATTCTAGAATTTTTTTCAATTGAGACTTGTGTCACCAGTAGTAAATAGGTAAATATTTTCAAGAAAAAAATATCTGGACTTATATTTCTAGCAGCCTCTAAATGACATGTAAATTAAGGCGTACTTATCTTAGATAACTTCAAATTCTGGACAACCAATATACTCCTCCGGTCCTTAATATAAAACCCATTTCAATAATTTGATTAGATTAGGAAAGTTAGGTGAGTTAGTTAATTATAAGAAAAGTGACACATTTTTCTAAAACACCATAATCATCTTTCGTTATATCTCCTCTTCATCTTCTACTTGATTATGGTTGAGGAAGTATCCATAGGGGTAATTTAAAGAAAACTGATAAATATGAGAAATGGGTTTTATATTTAGGACCAAAACCAACTCAAGAATTAGGTCTTATATTAAGGACCGAAGAAGTATAAGCATATGTATGGTAGATGTTAGGTGCATGAACTTGAACGAAGTCAGAAATTTCAGGTAGTATGAATGATTTTAAGTCAATAAACTTTTGACAGACAGCAGAGAATGGAATAAGCAATGTATTTGGTACATAAATACTTAAATTAGAGGAAAACAATATGAGAAATAAAAGTTGACTTCCCGTAGCCACATGCAATCATCATCATATATGTTCTGACTTGCTGGAATAAATAAAACTAAGGGAGTGTTTGGATTCCCCCATAAGTGCTTTTTAAAATCACTTCTAAAACTATGGTTTGGTTTGCATCCAAATACCCCCTAAATGTGGATTCAGTCGTTTCTTCAATTTGTTTGCCTTCCATTTGACTGATTCTAAGGTTTTCCTTATTAGGAGGCTTTACCTTATTTCAATCCGTTAATGATTCAAAAGTTATGGCAAACTCATTTACCAAACAAATTGGTATTTGTTTCAGTGTTTATGCAGTAGCGAAACCCCAAGTGAGACTGTTTTATACTTATCAGAGATAGCTACAATTTTTGGTCAATCTATCTGTTACAATGTGATTTCCACATCTTAGTTAACTCAGCAGGCCACAGCATGCAACTAATCATTCTTTTTGACAATCAGCTAATTAATATATTTATTGGTGAAAATTGCTTGACCTAAATTATTTTGTTTAGGATCAGTATTTGTCATGTCATTCATGAATCATTTAAAAGCAACTGAATCAAAATTATTGCTTGGTCAGTGGGGTAGTTGATTGTATTGAGAAGTGATTGATGTGACTTATGTTTTTTCTTCAGGGTATGGCATTTGTAAGTTGACCCATTCTGAACATGCTTTCTATAAAATACATACGTCAGTAATTTGATTTTAACATATTATTGCCATACTTCGCAGAAGGCAGTAGTTTCATAGGCAATAGACATCCCCGCTTGCTCACTAAAATATTAGCAGTATCGGGTATTGCCGTATTGGTGTTATTGTTTGTTAAATTTCAAGTTTTCATGTTTTCTTTTGTGCTGTCTACTGAACAATATGAAACTTTTTGTTAAGCTTTATACCAAGTAATGCCTTCTTGTCAACCTTTAGGTAGAGATGAAGTGAATAATGTTGATTTGCAGTTCTCTACTGCTTTTTCTTATGAAATTATATATGCACAGTTTTTATTGAATAAAATGGTTCTCCCTCATGTATTCAGCTTTATTTTAAAACTTCTTGTGTCATATTTGGTTCTTATGTCCATCTCTGTCAGCAACTCTCAGGAATAATAAAGCTGATTTGAAGTGATTACTGACCTTTTTATTTTTTGGGAACTGTTCTCTACCAACTCAGTAGCTTTACCGTTGAATAAGGAACAAGGAAGCTAAACAATGAATTGGTTTTTACACAGTGGTAAAAACTGCTCTTGGCTGGCAATCTTTATGTTTTTGATAAGTTATGCACAATTCACACGCATGGTGCAATTCTGACTAAGAAATGGTGCGTGCTTTTTCTTGGTTAACTTATATGAATTATATTTCACAAAAAAAATTATATGAATTTAACTGTCTCTGATTTGTAGCTAACTCTTCAAATTGGCTGTGTATTGTTACTCTATTAAATCTGAAACAAAATATCATATCTCAAACATGTTTATATTTCCCAAGATATACTTGGCAAATAATGTTTACATTAGTTGTGGCATTTGAGTGTTGTTTTGTTTTTTTTAACCTCTCTAAATTTAAGTTTTAAATCCCTCCTAAGTAGGCGAAGAAATATGAGCATTGTGAACAGGTTGGAAGCCGTAAAATTAACCTTTTTTCTAGGAACTTGGAGAAGGAAAATATTTATCTTATTGGGATAAGCTTTGTGGTCATTCCTTAATGTTATCGATTATCTGATATATATATTTATAATATTATTTAGTTCCTGATTTTATGTTTATACAGATTTGCAGCAGAACTGGAGACTTGTATATACATCAAAGATCATAAAATTTAACAGAACAATCATCAATCTTGGGTGAAATCTTGGCCTGCCAACACATTCCAACTTTGTCAAAGCTATGGCGTTTCATCAATTCGGAACTGTGATCATTTTGTTTCAAATGATGTTGAGACATTAATAGGTTTAGGAACACAGACTGATGTCATTCTATTGCCCTAAGTATTTAGATAGTACTGTATTACATAACATTAGCCTCTTGGAATTCTTGCGCTGAATATGTTAATACGCATTAGTCCAATACTAGACGAGGTGGTAAGTTGCTTGAGTGTTACGGTCCATATCATGTTTTCATGGGACATGTATTAGAGTTGATTTTTGATATAATGTAGCAGTATTAGATTTTTCTAAACCAATTTTTAAATTTTAGATTGGATGCATTAATTGTGTTGACTTGGTTTGTGATAATTGTTTTAACAAAAAGAAATTATTGATAATGTAAGAGAAATCATCCACACATGTAGATGAATGATTTGAGAATCTCATGCTATTGCAAAATTTTCTAGCATTGCTGTTAACCTCAACGTTTAAAATTACCATACAAATTCGAGAACTCATCTAGATGAGCACATGTAGAAGAATGATATCTAATGTCTCTTAGAACCTTTTGACAGAAGAAGATTGATGTGTATAGCAGACATATGGATCTAGTTAACACGTGAAATGGAAGCGAAAGCCAAATGAGTGGCTTAACTTCCAGTATCATACAATTATTTATGTGAAAGTTTTTTATTTTCCATACCTTTTTAGTTTTTTAAGACTTTCCTTTTTTTTTAAAAAATTATTTATGGAGATAATTGATATTTGGGGGTTTTATATTTATACTTTCTTTTAGTATGTTTGTGAGACAAACCTTGATCAATAGAGATGTTTAAAGAATTATCTCATTTTAATTTCATTTTGGTTAAATAACTTTTGTTATCGAATGTGATAAGCACATTATACACACACCCATGTATATATATACGCATTCTATATTATACTTTGCGTCTCCTGTGCATGATGTTTTCTCTATTTCTACATACTTTCTATGATACGATTATGTTTTTTTTTTTTCCAATGTGTTGCTTAATTAATTATCTAAGTCCAGCCATTATATAAGATGAATAGAATAAAGCGTGTTTTTCTTGGATATTGTGTTGTGAAGGTGTGAAATGAATACCATCCTTACATTTACATGAAAAACAAGTCCCAGCAATTCAATTTGCTTTCGTGAATGGAGATCGTGGTTGTCTCTCATTCTACTGTTACATCAGTATTTTTATATTTGTAGTTCTCTTTTTTTTATTTATTGTTGCCAGTGTTATTTATAATCAAGAGTGTCGTCTCTCACTTATGCTCTCACTAATTTTAACCTAACTTCATAGAATGTTCATATTAATCTTATATGAGGAAGTTTTGTTTCTGCAGGAGCTGTTCTATCGTTTGGTGTTTATTTTTTTCCGATGACAAAAGGTAAAGCTCTAAACATCTAGTCTTATAAAATTCAATTTCAGATGTAGTCCTAAAACACTGTTAATTAGAATTGAATCAAAATTTATAATTCAAAATAGTTCACTTCCATATAATCTCTTCTACGATTTGAACATTATTAATTATATATGAATTATATGTGATTTTGTTTTGCTGAAGTTTCTTCAGGTTTGTTTATGATTATTGATTTTAGTGATGTTAATACATCTGCGCATAGCATAGGGAGTAAATGCTAGTTAAAAAAAAAAAGAGAGAAGAATCAATCAATCAACTTAAAATATTAAATAAAAACCAAAACCAAGCTGAGTTGCTTTTGTCTTCAAACTGGCTGCTCATTTAAATTACTAAACAGTACTGGCTTATGAACAGCGCCAGCTCCTTGCGTGTCGCTCTGTGCAATCACTCTGGTTTTTTTAAAAAGATTTTGGGCATAGTATTTTAAATTTTAAAATTCTCTCCGTCCTGCCATTCATCTTTTCTAATCTCTCCACTTGCTACTCTTTTTCATGCTTCTCTTTCTACTTTTCCCCATCTCTTTCAAATTCCAAAGTCAAATGGAAGCTTCAACCTCTCTTTTTCTCTTTCACTCAGATTGATGATTTTCTCATAGAAATCACCACTCCTTTTCCTTTGCGTACAAACACTATGAGCCTGGAATTCGCCATCTCCTACGTCCCTCTCGTCGACGACCATGGGGTGTGGGTGTGGTGGCTATCAGTGGTGTGGTAGGCGCAAGTACATGGTGGTTAAAGTGCTGTGCATAGTTGCTGCCATTGCTAATACATCAGAAAGGTCTTTCTTTCCTTTCCTTCTTCATCTTTTTCTTCTCTATTCTTCCTCATCTTTTTTCTTTCTTCATTAGATTCAGTTCTGAGATCTTGCTCTGTCTGAATTTTAGGAGAAATTTTCAGGCATGCCTTTGTTACTTTGGGTAGGTTTTATTGTTTGATTGATTGCTAACCAGTTCTGAACATAACAATGGCTTAGCACGAATTGTTCGATTTGAACGAGAAAATTCAAGGAAAGACGGCCGAAAGAATGAGATGAGAGGTTTCAAAGGTAGGATTTTTTTTTGTTAATTCTTTTTAAGTTCTCATTTTTCATCTTTCAAGGTCTGCTTTCACTCTCCCTAGCTAATGTCTCTCAAATATCTCCGACTTGAGAGCATCGGCCTGGGTTTGCTTGACACTATGATCAATTCAAGATGTCTTCTTTATAAAACAGATGGTTTAGAAAATTAAAAGAGGTATAAGAAATTACTCTGTTAGTTTATGTATTTATTTATTTTTGGGTTATATGTTGTTTGAATGATTCTTTTGTATCCATACTATACGTACGTATATATCTATGTGTGTGCATTTTTTGCGTGAAAATAATATATATACATATATATTGATTATTGATACTGGTATAAATGTATTAGCAAGTTAAGGCATTGACCTTCAGGATAAATATATGTACTACTAATTGACTCCCAAATTGTTCCTCGAAGGTAAATATATGATAATGTATTTGATTGGTAATAATATATTAATTGATTAGTTGTGTATAGGGGTGTTTGATTTGTTCTGTACTGGTATATGTGAGTTCGGGACGGGACAAAAAAAATTTCGGGACAGGACAAAAACGGGATGGGACAAAACACGGGACGGGATTGTCCAATCCTATCCCATCCTGGGTTTTTCTTTCTTTTAAAAATTATTTATTAATAATTATTATTAGATTATTCAATTTACTTATTAATAATAATTTTATAGTGATTTTTAGCTCTTAAGTTGTAGTATTATCTCAATAAAATCTTCTTCCCCAATAAAATAATTTATAAAGTCATCATATAGTGTTTCTTTTACGGTATTTCTTTTTTTACAGTATTGTTTTTACACTTTTTTTATACTATATAATTGAACTTTTTACAAAATATTTTCTTATAATGTTTATATCTTTAGAAGCCCAAAGGAAAAAGCATTATAATATAAAAAATTATAGTATTTTTTTTTTAAAAAAAAAGGCAAGCAAGATGTTCTGGTCCCGTCGGGACAGGACACGGGAGAAAACCCTATCCTATCCCTGTTCACCAGGACGAGACTGAGACGGACCTGTCCCGGTCCGGTCCCGTGAACACTTCTGGTTGTGTGTTTGGCAAAGCAGGGTAAGATCCTGTTTTTCTCATTAGAATCACTACATCATCTACATATCTTCATCTCCGTGTTGGCTATTGTACATGCCATGTTTTTTGTCACCACACTGCTGCTTGGAGGCCCAATTACATATCCATAATTTGGGCAAATATGATATTGTATTGCAATAATTCATTTGCAAGGACCTTATAACAATTCTGCAAAATGTGGTCTTGTTTTTCATACTTCCTTTATTGTGTTCCGCATCTGTTATGCATATTGGTTAGTCTTTAATTATTTACCTGAGTTTATATCTAGCAGAATGTGAATGTCATAATTTTTTTTAATCCTTTTTTTAAGTATAAGTTTGAGGCTATCATTTTTCTTCACTGGACTGCTAAAGGTATTGAGTATGGTATTGGATAATATCTGCAAGGCAATGCGTTAATTACTAAAGTTTATTTGCTTTAGCAGTTGGCGATGTGCAGCTTTCTTATGAGTTTCGTGTAAGAAAAAGATTTGTCCCATACCTTTTTATTCAAAGCTTACGTTAACCAAAACCAACAGGTTTATCCTCAACTGAGGATAAGGTAATTATCAAAGCTCAATGGTACTTACCCACTGGTTCAAATGTTGAACTTGGCAGTTGAAGAGAAGAAAGAAAGTGTACATACAAAGCGAAACAAAGGATGGTCCTTGGAGAAGGAAAAGGAAAGGGTGCTTCTAGTTCATTTTCACATGGGCACACTGGAATGAGTCTAGGATTTTTAAACTGGGGGGCTTACTACGGGTGTTCACGGGACGGGATCGGGACAGGGCCGTCCCGGTCCCGTCCCGATGAACAGTGACGGGACGGGATTTTTGTCCCCTGTCCCGTCCCGTCCCTGAAGTGTCTCGTCCCGAAAGGGACCGGGACAGAATAGGGACTCCCGGTCCCAGTATTTTTTATTGGGCCTATGTCAAAAAATGATTAAATTTTCTTGTTTTTTTTTGGGCCTAACAGATTGCTGGCCACGCTTTAATTTCAGCCCAAGAAAGTATGGACAAGTTTGCTTTTGAAAATTTACTGAACAAGACTTAAATAATTTGCAACAAATTGGACTATTTCAAATTAAATCTGCTGCAGGCTCTAATCAACATCAGTTCATTCGAGCAAATAGTTACGTTTCAGCTCTCATATTAACATCGAATAACATCTGTTGTCCAAAAAAAAATGAAGGCGATTGTAATGACTCACAGTGACGGGCTCATGGGGATTGGGGAGTTCAGAGCGAGCGATTACGAGGAGAAACACGGTGAGACACGACGATAGCAATCAGAGACTTTAGAGTCAGCAGAGCGAAGGCAAGAAGGAATTTGAACTTACTCACGGCAATGCGACGGTAGGGGGAGAGTTCAGAGCGGCAAATCATGTGACGCGAGGAGACTGACAGGGTGAGAGCCATGGCAAGGCACTAGAGATCAGAGTAGAGCAAAGGCAACAAGGAATTTGAACTTACTCACGGCAACGCGACGCCCCGTAGGGGGGATAGTTCAGAGCGACAAATCGATGTGAGGAGATTGATAGGGCGAGCATGGCGAGGCAGTGGAGAATAGAGCAGAGCGAAGGCAAGAAGGAATGAGTTGCGACGCGCGACGCCTGGGGAGGAACAATCAGATCAGGGTGGAGACAGTGAGGAGAGGGAAGCTGCGGGACTCGGGACAATGGATTAGAAAATAGGGCAACGGAGTGATCTACTCTATTTGACAATATTTGCAATTTTTTTTTAAAATTATATACCGTGGGACAGGACAACCCCGTCCCGTGTCCTATCCCGTCCCGATCAATATTTCGTCCCGTCCCAAAGTCATCGGGACCGGGACGGACCCATCGAGACGGGACAATTTGAACACCCCTAGGGCTTACTGCGCCGAGGTCCTTTTTCTTCTAAAATCTTTCACAGCAGGATAGGGTAGGCTGCCACCCAAACCAACATGATATCACTATTCATACACTTGCAGTAAATGCGCCAACCCCTTCTCACTCACATTTTTTATCTTCTGTGTGGGGACTCCAAAATAATTCTGTGACTGATCATAAAGTTTGAAGCACATAACACTTCCAATATCCATGGAAGGATAAAATTTGCTTATCATACGACACGTTATGGTATTTGTAATCAGTATTCTATTTCAAATGCAGCATCAGGCTGACATGTAAATTAGATTCTCGTGACATTTGCCCATATATTCTTTGCATTTAAATTTATGAAATATAAGTCTATCAGAATTTGCTTGCTAATAAACTATAGCACCATGAAATAGGTGGGGTAGTTGTAAGAATTATGCATATCATTAAGGCATGGTGTCATGAGTTTCCAATAGGTTCATACACGTGGGCAGGTGAAGGAATTTGTTTGAATTCATATTATTCATCCTAATTCAACGATTTTAGTGGTTTTTTGCCTCATGAAATCTACCTAATAATTAATGGGTAAATTCAGTATGTTAAATTCATGTATTTTTTGTTGCGCAATTACTATCTCTAGTTTTTAATATAAAAACTTGTTTGATTTTTATTTTGATTCTAAATATAAAATTTTAATCCATTTTGTCTTTCATACTTATTGATTTTTTTCTCAAGAAAGTCCTTCTAATAATGATAATTTTAACTAATAAACTTGATTAGTAAGGATATTTTAGAAAATATAACACCGATTTATTACAAATAACTAACTTAACTTGTTTTCTTAATCTACTCAAATTAGTCAACTAGCTTTTATATTTAGAATCAGAGGTAGTATAATTTTGTAAGTAGGAAACAACGACCATCTAAGTTTATCCCCCCTCCCCCCCAAAAAAAAAAGGTTTAGGATTGTCCTCAGTGAAGTGGTGTTTCAGAGTTGTCGAATAGGCACTAGTCTTGAGAAGAGAAAAGATATGACATTCACAAAGGTAGGAAATCAGCACACACTTGTCTTGCAGGATATGCACAACTGAAAAAATTTGCTGTGATATGAGTTATTGGTGAAGGTGATTTACTCTATATTTTTGTGGCAAATCGTTTGGGTTTCTTAATTATATGGCATATAACTTTGTTTTTTGGGAAAATGACTGTTGAAATTTGAAATGACAAAATGAGCATGCAAATAACTGAAATCGCCAAATGGACCTGAGGTATGAATATGGAATTATTACAATTCGATAGACAGACTAAAATACCCTTGAACACCTTTGAATACATGAGTTGAAACAAGACACGTGATATATCCAGAAGAGAGAGAGAGAGTGGAGAAGAGGAAGCTGGAGCAAGAGTGAAAATCTGAAAAGATGAAAAAGGTAAGCAAATTTTTTATTAAAATGCTAGTATCGTACTCCTCCAACGATCACCATTCTGTTAAAATCTCTCCGTCTTCTACTTCTCTTATTGGAGCAGTTTTATTTGGGGGAAAACAGCGAATCTTGGTTCTAAAGTGGGGGAAACAATGGTAAAGGCTTAAAATGGAATCTAAAGGTAGATTAAAACTTACAGCTATGTTAATCGGTGCTTGGATTGCTTTGAATTGTGAAGTTCGAAGAAGGGGTTACTGCTTCTGTGTGTGTCTGTATTATTCAAGTTGCTCCCTTCCTTTGAATCATAGTCACTACTTGATGAGATTTCCCTCTGATTGTTGTGCTGCTGTAATGTTGCAAGAT